GGGGAGTGGGTTGCATGTTAGCTGCTCCCCAGCTGCCACAAGGAGACAGGACCTGACAGAAAGACTGGAGAGAGGCCGGCTAAATCACACATGGCTCTTTCTGTGCTGCCCAGGTCAGAGAGACTCCAAGGGGAGCAGTTCATGTGCTGCAAAGCCCCATCTTGTCGCCTTGGGGATCAGTCAGTGCGTGAGGCAGGGCCGGAGTGGAATTGGGAAGGAAGGAGGCTACAGTCGCCGCCTCTGGTCCTCACCTTTTTGTGCTTTTAGATACCCCCCTGCGGGCTCAGAGCCTCCAACTTTGGTCAGGAAGGTGGTGCAGCCCAACAGTGCCCAGGAATGGTGAGCAGTCCTCCATGGGTGACGTTTGTGGGCACTGCCTGTGACTGTTCTCTGTTCTCTGGGCCAGAATTCTGGGGAATTGATCAGTAGCTGCACAGATGCACACCTTGGCGGGTGGAGTTGGTGTGTGGCTCTTACTGTTTCAGACTATGCCTGCTTCTTTGAACATTTTCTGTTGTTCCTGGGTCACTGGAATTTTGAAAAAAAAAAAAAGATTTATTTATTATTACTGGAAAGGCAGAGAGAAGGAGAGACAGAGAAATATCTTCTGTCTGCTGGTTCACTCCCCAAGACACCACAATGGCCAGAACTGAGCCGGTCTGAATCCAGGAGCCAGGGGCTTCTTCTGGGTCTCCCACATAGGTACAGGGTCCCAAGGCCTTAGGCTGTCCTCTACTGTTTTCCTAGGCCATATGCAGAGAGTTGGATGGGAAGTGGAGCAGCCAGGACACAATCCAGGGCCCATGTGGGATCCTGGTGTATGCAAGGTGAGGATTTAGTCACTAGGCCACCATGCTGGGCCTCACTGGACATTTTTCAAACTCATCAGGCAGAGTGCCCTTGATGGCAAGGTGACATAGGCCATGCCCATGGCCCGAGGACCAGGAAGCAGTGCTATAGATGAAAGCTTCTCAGCAGTAGGCCTGTTCACTTTTGAGGCTGTGGACTGTCCAGTGTGAGGGAGGGTGCTGGGCAGCGTTTCTGGCTGCCACATGTCCCCCCCCCCATCCCACCTCCCACCATATATCATAGCAGCCTCTCATGTGGGAAAAGAAGTGTCTGCAGATGTTGTCCCTAGGGAAACCAAATTATCTGCATTTAGGGATCGCCACATGAAGGCATAGTATTGCTGTGGAACCAATGACCCCTGCTGGCTGTGGCAGCTGTGGCATGGCAAGAAGGCAACTTGCATGAAAGTCCCTAACAGGGAACTCAAGGAGGAATGGGCAAGGATAAGCAATGGGGCAGGTAGCTGTGTGGAGCCAGGCCATCGGGGGTGAGGGCTTCAGGATGGGAGATAATGATGGTGGGGAGAAGTGGGGACAGGTGCAACATGTGACCGCGTGCTGGCTGGGAGGTATGGCCAGCTGGGAAGTAGCTGGGAAGCGTGCGGTAGTAGAGAGCCTGGCTGACTCCTGGGGAAATCGCTCAGCCTTCTGCCTTCCATTTGCCAGGTCAACCTTGAGTGCTGATAGCACTCTAGATCCTTCCAGATACTTGACTGCTTTCGTCCTGACCTTGTAGAGAGAGCAGGGTGAGCCTGACAGGCAGTTGAGTTCCTAGGAGAAAGACTGGCTGATCATTTACCCAGTCAATAAACATTCAGCAAGCATGTGCGTTGGCTGTGGCTGTGCCACAAGGGAGGGACTCCATTGATCACCCACACAGTGGTCTGCATGGGGAGACAGAGGCCACCAGTGCAGCCGGCCATGGGGCAGTGAAAAAGGCAGGCTGTGCTGTCAAACGTCCTGTGTCTGCCCCCAGCTCTGTCCCTTGGGCAAGTGAGCAGAGTGGCTCAGCTGTGGTGGTTCTGTCGGTGAAGTGGGTTAGAGAGGATCCTCGTGCTCTGTGAGTGTGAACTGGCCTCCCAAGCACTCCCCGAGAACTATTATAAATGTTCATTCTCATGCCTGAGGGCTCCCTGGACTTTGAGAGGATAAAAAGATCCTGAAGGGGGAGTGGCTAGTGACTTCACTCAAGTGGCTGTTTTGGGATGGGTCTTCAAGGGCTAAAGGGTCCTTCTCAGAACATAACAAGACATTGTGAGCCTGAGGGATGGTGGTGCAGCAAGTGAGGGTCAGGAAGAGGAAAGAGCAGCTGGAGTCACAGATTGGGAATGAGCGGGACTGATGGGCTACCTGTTGGCTCTGCTCCTGAGGCTGGACACAGGGGTGTCAGATTAGGGACCTTGAGAAGGGGAAGGAAGCAGGTAAGGCAGTGGTAGAGACCCTGGCAGGAGCCATGGGACTTCAGAGTCCAGGGTCACTAGGTGTGAGTGGAAGAGCCTGCCAGCCACTTTGGCTTGGGCCTGTTTTCACTTGTGATAGAAGAACCAGCTGCTGTATTCCCATTAGGCAACTTTCAGAGAGCAAAAAGCCAGCCTGTCTAGCATGGATCCCTTTGTGATTAAATGAGGGCCAGACATGGGGATGCTGGCTCCAGCTCATGTCAGGAGAAGCCAGGAGACTGAGCAGAGGCTCCTACTCTTGATGGCCCTCAAGGCCAGCTCTGTCACCACTCAAAGTCACAGCTCATTGGAGCTCAGCAGAACCAATTGGCTATGAGATTTGTCTTCTGCCACTCCTATGCTGGTCACCTCCCCTTCCCTTCACTGTTCAGGGGCTATACCTTCCTGGCAGATGGGTTTGGTAGCCAGTGGCACAATTGACACCATGCACAAAGCCAAATCAGCCCGTGCTGGCTGGTGTCCCTCACCAACCAGACCTCTGGCCCGGGTCAAAAGCATCTTCTGATGGCACGGACTGTGGCGTCACTACTCTGACACATCATCACGTAGTGAATGCATCCTTATTGATCATATCCTGCTGTGCCAGGCACAGCATGTACAGTTATGAATAAGCAGATGCCAGTCCTGGCTTTGCAGCACCTGCAGAAGATCTGCAGGGGCAATGGATACCAAACAGCCCATCCAGGGGTGATAGATGGTAATCTAGCGAGTGCATGGAGTTTGACCATGGAGACGAAGGAGAGGAGTTTTATGTTAGCGGCCACTGAGGTCAGGAGAGGCTTCTAGGAGGAAGTGCATCATCCTGGGTGTATGCAAATGCTTAGGAGTGAGGCAGAGTAACTGGGAAGACCTACCTCACCAACGTGGCCTGAGACCAAACCCAGGGAACTTTGCCTGGTGGCTGCGGCCCTACTGCCTGCCTTCGCTGGATGGATATCCTCCCTCCTACCCACAACCTTCTTTAGTTCCCTTTGACCACATTGCTCTTTCTTCCCTTCTACTGCCATATCTTGCTCCTACACAAACCATCATGCATGCCTTTGTAGAGGCTGGCTCGGCCTTCCATGTCCAGAGGTGGCCAAGCTGGCTCCAGACCCTGCTTTACTTAAACCCTTGGAGGTCTTGAGACCTCAGACAAGCAGGTAACTAATTGCCTGGTGCATTGGGGTCCTGTCTGTGAAAGGGTTCCCAAGACATAGGGGGCCAGGCCTGCAAAAGCTGAGGTCAGGACCTTTGTGAGACAGGGGGTTGCACTCTGCCTTCCCCTACAGTGTCAGAACCTGAGTTGTCTCTGGGTTTTCCATGAAAACCAGTGTTACCCAGCTGCAGTTCCTGTGGCAGAACTGACCCCTGCTTTGGTAAAATGACATGTGGACTGGGTGCTTCCGGTGCCGCCTCTGTATGCTAGAAAACTGTGGCCTTGGGCATCCTCAGTGTGGTGTCTTTTGTAATCAGGCAGGCTCCCTGCAGGGACCCTGGAGGCTCTGTGTGGTTGTCACTTGAGACAACATGGATTCTGTGGGACTCAGACCAAGGCTGCTCCCAGTGGCTTGTGCCCGAGTCAACACCTAGGGTTACCTTGTCTGCTAAACCCCTCCACCTCTGAATCTGGACCATTCAGTCATCTCAAACTATGTGTTTATGAATTGCTATGAGGAAGGTGCCAGAGACGTAACACTGAACCCACCCCCCCAAAAAAAAATTATCCTTTGCCATCAGGGGCACTTACAATCCTACAGGGAGCTGGCTCTGATGAGTGAGCAGGCATTAATCATAGAAAAGGGTGAAATGGAGGGAGTGGGGACAGGTAGAGCCATGTTGCACAGGTCCTTAGGCGTGAGGTCATCATGGCATCTGATGATCCCAAGCAGCCCTGGGCAGAGACCTGTAAGAGCTGAGGATGGGGTGGTTCTTCTATCAAAATCAGAGAGCCAGCTGCAGGTTCACACAGGCTATGTTGATTGGAAGAGGGTTGGTTGCAGGACGCAGTCATGAAGGGGGTGACATTTGAGGAAACTATAGGGGGAAAAAGAACCATTTATTTCAAAAGCATAGAGAATCACCAATAGGTGTCTTCTATGTGCTGGTTCACTCCTCAAATGCCCAAGATAGCTGGGCTGGGTCAGGCCAAAGCCAGGAGCCCGGAACTCCATCCAGATCTCCCACATGGCTGGCCAGTGCCCAAGTTAAGTGCCGGGGTCTACTGTCCCCTAGGGTGCATGTTAGCGAGCAGCTGGAACCATAAGTGGGCCAAGATGAGCCCAGGCACTCTGGCTGCAATGGGATGTGGGCTATGCCAGACACCACACCTGAGTGAACTTTATGGAGGAAGGTTTTTGGTGTTACACAGGGTATGCTTAAAGATTGGCAACCACAGAGGAAAGCTGGCTTTTAATTTCAGTGGTCTTGACTGCTCCGCTTCATTGTTCCCCTCCCCGTTTTGGCAGCCATGATTCCATACTGCAGGGCATGAAGGCAGGTGGGTGTGGGCTGTGATTGGATGTGGAGGTTCCCCAGGACACCCTTGCTGTAAACAGAGCACCTTCAGGGCAGTCGTGAAAGTGAGTGAGGTCTCTCCAGATGCAGTATATCCTCTGGCCTGGAGAAGTACCCCTGGCATATAAGATAGACATCTTGTTTCTCACGGGATGAATGCAAATCACAGTTCTCTTTTCCTCTCTCTCCCCTCCAGGCTTATATTTGGCACCCTTTACCCTGCATATTATTCCTACAAGGCTGTGAAATCAAAGGACATTAAGGAATATGTAAGTAGCTCCTTGGAGGGGGGTGGTGACAGGGTACAGGAGGGATGACTGGGCATGTGGTGATGGGAGATGGGGCTGCCCTCCTTGCTGTGGATGTCAGGAGCATCCAGTGGAGTCCCTGTGTCAGCCTTCTCATGAGACTTCTCTGGTGCCCTCTGGCTGGTCCCATCTCCTCCTGTGATGAGCTGAGGAAAGGGAAAAGATACAGCACCCAGAAGCACAGACCCCTGGCCCCTGTTGCATGCCACCAGTCTTGGTTTCTTTTTCTGGGGGACACCCTGGCCTCAAGGATCCTGAGGGGACACCCAACAGACCGGTTTCAGGCTCCTGGTTCTCCAAGTGTTCTAATGTGGGACTCATATTTTTTAAATTGATTTTTAAACAATTTTTGAAACATCTGAAAAGTTGTGTTCATTTGAAAGGCAAGGAGACAGAGATACACACACATGTGCACACACACATGTACACACACACACACACACACACACACACACACACCACCCCCATCTACTGGTTAGGAATAGTCCAGGCTGAAGCCCTGAACCTAGAAGCAAGACCTGAGTCTTCTCGAAACTAAATTCTGCCGCCCTTCCCAGGGTGTATGGTAGCAGGAACCTGCAATTGGAAGCAAAGCTGGGACTTGAACCCAGGCACTCCAGTATGGCACAGGACATCCCAGGTGATGCAGTCACTACTCTGCTACCTGTCCCTCTACTTCCTCACACATCACTGAGCCAGTCTGCCATGGTGAAGGATAATTCCGAGAAAGCTTAGAAAGTCATCGTTTTTTTTCCCCTTGGACTCCCCCCAGGAGGTGTTGGTGATGAGACTAGCAGCCTCCAGGCCTGCCTGCCTGCTTCCCCATCCCAGCTGCGCTGGGCTTGTGTGTTGCTGCTCCAAGTCTGGGACTGAGCCAGTTCCCCTAATGGATACCAGGTGCTGGCATAGATGGAGCTGTCTCAGACTGTGTGCTGTACATAGCTGTTCGATCACAAATCCAGAACCTCCTGCTTCTCAGTTGCCCTGTCACAGGGTAGTGTAGTTGGCCACCTCCAACAGCCCTCCAGCTCCCAACCCTTCTTGCTGCCCACAGTCCTAGAGTCTGTGCTGGGGAAGACAGTCACCACAGTACAAGATCTGAACCTCTGACAGGCGGAGGCAGAAATTCAATTCTACCACTTCATCCGGGAGAGATCAAACCCTTGCTAATTTTTTTTTTCCTATTATGATGAAACTCACAGGAGCCTGGTTTCTGAGTAGAACGGCAATTCATTAATTTGTGAGGAAAACTTCTCATGGGCCCACAGAGCAGCTGTTTGTGTTGGCTGGGGAGCATATGCTTTTCCTGATAGGAAAAACTCCTTGGGAGTTAAGATGAGGAGATGCTGGGTCTAAAAAGAAAGAAAGAAAAAAAGCAAATGGAAAAAAGGGCTGAGTAGCAAGTGAGAGCTACTGCCTTTGTCTGTACAGACCCAGCATGCATGCATGCACGCACACACTCCTGTCTTTTGGCTAATAGACTCACTTACCTACGAGAAGGCTGAACTCTTGCTCCCTGCGCAGCTCCAGACACAGAGATCAGTGACCACTGGCCTGTCATCACCAGCCCCTGTTCCTTCCTTTTCTACTGCCACTCGGTTCAAAATGTTGCAATGGCATAGTTGCAGCATTCTTTGCTTTCTTTTTCTGATTGTTGTAACAAATTGGGGAGCATTGTGTCCTCGGCTTTTCCTACTCATGAGTCGTGGGGGCCACCTGCATTCCCTGGTGCACATCCCTTTAGCCTTCTCAGCCAGCAACCTTGCAGTGCTCTCCCCCACCCCTCCCCTTTCTTTCTCCCCTTCTCTATCTCTCTCTCTCACTCTCTCTCTCTGTCTCTCTCTCTCTCTCTCTCTCTCACCATTCTTCCCTGGTCACAGCTGGGGTAGGTTCTCCACTTTGAAGGATACCTGTGATTATACAGGGGCCACTGGGATAGTCCAGGTGAATCTGCCCCCATCTGATGGTCCCTAACCTCATGACCCTGTAAAGCCCAATTGGCCACAAGGGTATCAGGATGTGTGTGCCCTTGAGGGGCCTTTACCTTGTCTGCCACACCTCCCAGCAGGTTCCCATGCCTCCTAGTCCTCCTTTCCCACTCTGCGCTCCACCTGACCACCAGAAGCCTCTGACCAGGGGACCCACTGCTTTCACTGCCCCTGGCTCACCACTGCCTCCCACAGTGAGTGCTTCGCTCCCTCTTGATCGTGCCCTTTTCTGCTTTGCAGCCACCTCGCTTCAGGTCTGCAGTGCTGTCACGCTCAGAACACTAAGACATGGCCTAGGGCCCAGGACTACCAGTGTGGCCTGAGAGTTTGCTGGAAAGGGAGGAATCCCAGGCCTATCCCACCTCCTAAATAAGAGTTGGTGTGTTTAACAAGAACCATGATTTGTGATGGCCAGAGCTTCTTGATGTCTTTCCAGATTTACTGCTTGAGTCCACAGAGATTTTTGGATGAAAATTTAGAAAGGGATGGAAGGGAAATGGTAGAATAACTGGAATGCTGGAGGAAGATGCTCAGAAATGTGAGGATCCAAGAAGGTGGTGGTGCTAAGAGCTGAGTTCGCACCACAGGGAGGGTCTGCTTGGGAGACCTTCGCCCACATTACCGTTGTGGACCTTGGCTGCTGAGTAGCCCGGAGACAAAAACAGCCTTGACAGCTGCCTCTTGGCTGTGTAACACTTACATCACACTATTCCTTTGGCCTTGCAAACAGCCTCCCAACAGGAGTTCTGTAGCACACATCCACTTCTCTAGTCCAAGTTTCTACAGTTGTTGAGTCCAGCTGAGGACCAGCGTGCTGGGTGAGGGCGTCTCTTGCTCCAGCCATGACAGATTCCAGGCTCAATGCTCCAGAGACTGAATTGTCCAAGGAGCCGTCAGCCACTCTGTCCTGCCGTCGAATAGCATGGAGAGAGGACTCCTTAGAGTACAATTAGCCAAAATAGTTATACTTAACACAGAGAGGAATGAAATCTGGAGAGAAGCTTCAGTTCATGTGTAAGCAACTCATGCATCCATAGCTAGCATTCCTTTGTTCAAGGTAACATCAGAAATTTTTATGTGAGAGTTCAGTGTGGTGTTTGAGACACTGGTTAGGATGCCCATATCCCATAATGGAGTGCCTGAATTTGAGTCCTGGCTCCCCTCCTGGTTCTCACTTCCTGGTTCTCACTTCCTGCAACAGGTGATAGATGGTTCAAGTACTTGGGTTCCTGCTGCACATGTGGGAGACCTGGGTGAGCTTCAGCTGCTGGTGGTGACCTGATCCTGCCCAAGCTGTTCTCAGTGTTTGGAACTAAGCCAGTAAGCAGGAGCTCTCTCTATCACTGTTCCTCTAATTCATTTTCAAAATTATGATTCACACAATTATAAAATCAGCACATGTTGAGGGCTAATTCATTAATGAATGAGGAAACTAGTAAGGTGTTAAACAGCTCAAAGGAGACATGCAAGTGAGAGGTGATGAATATATTATTAGCTTGCTCTGATCATTTCAGAATATACTATATCAAGGTAGCTTGTTGGGGGTGGGCATCGGCCTAGTGGTTAAGACGCTCATATCCATGTGGGTGCTCCCCAGGTTTGATGGCCTGTCTCCACCCCTAACTTCAGCTGGCTGCTAGTGCTCACCCAGGGAGGCAGCAGTGATAGAACTCATGGAGGGGAGGACCTGGATTGGATCCCCAACCTCCTGCTTCAGCTCTAGTTAGGGACTAGTGCAGGCATTTGGGGAGTGAGCCAGCTGATGAAATCCTCTGTTCTCCCTCTCCTCCCTCACAAGCCCCTAAATAAATAAAATTTTAAATAAATATATATATATAAGATGTGAATTATACCTAAATAAAAAAGTCAAAGAGTGTATACACAGATATAGATATATAAGCAATTAGGAATATTGAAGTGAATTGTTAGTATAAATTAAGCTGCTATCCTGGAGATAGGGTGAAGAAATAATTTGTCCACTGGACAAAACACATTTGCATCTCTTTAGACAAAACTGTTTGCAAAGTTTGATGGCTTCCAGTAGGCTTTTGTCTGTGACTTTGCCCCGTGGTGATTTAGTCTGGGATTATTGGCTTGACTGCTGGGAGCTCCTTAAAGGGATGGAGTTTGCCTATGTGAGATGGGCTGTTGCTGTTTTTAAGAAGTCGCTCTCTCCAGCCTTGGGAAGCCCCACATGCCAGCACATCAGGAAGATTTGAAAAAAAATAGGCTGAACAGTAGGGCACACAGTGAGTTAAACTTCCAGTCTGGCTTCTTGCTGAGGTTGCTAGGAGGCAGCAGGTGGTGGCCCAAGTATTTGGATGTTTTGCGCTCATGTGTGAGATTTGGCAGAGCTCCTGGATCCTGGCTTTGGCCTGTTCCAACCTGGCTATGGTGGGCATGTGGACAATGAACCATGGGTGGAAAATCTCTGTGTCTGTATGTCTGTTTGTCTATATCTCTCTGTTCTACCTTTCAAGCAGAAAAAAATAAACATTTAAAAGTCAGAAAGCAAGCAAATGCAATCAATCTGCTGCTAGTGCACACGTGTTGCTTGAAGGTGCTTGTCCTTCCAGGCTCAGTGCCCAGGTGGCAGTTTCCCATACCCACTCTCTGTGGGCCTCCCTGAGCACAGGGCTGCCCACTGTGAGCTCGTATCAGCAGTGGAGGTGGAGGAGTCATCTTTGAACCAGACTCAGACTGTTTCTTTCTCCATCCTTTGGTGTAAGGGATTACTAATGAGACCAAGGTGGGACCCATATGCAAGTTTTATGAAAGCTTGAAAATGTTCATGTTAGAGGACCCACCCAGCATGATGGCTTAGTAGCTAAATTCTCACCTTGAGGGCCCGGCGCAGTGGCGCAAGTGGTTAAGGTCCTCGCCTTGCACACCCCGGGATCCCATATGGGCGCCGGTTCTATCCCGGCAGCCCGCTTCCCTTCCAGCTCCCTGCCTGTGGCCCAGGAAAGCAGTCGAGGATGGCCCAAAGCTTTGGGACCCTGCACCCGCGTGGGAGACCCGGAAGAGGCTCCTGGCTTCGGATCGGCATAGCATCGGCCGTTGCGTTCACTTGGGGAGTGAATCATCGGATGGAAGATCTTCCTCTCTGTCTCTCCTCTCTGTATATCCGCCTTTCCAATAAAAAAAAATAATAAAAAATAAATCTTTAAAAAAAAATGATTCTCACCTTGAGCACACTAGGATTCCATATGGGTGCTGGTTCATTTCCCAACTGCTCTACTTTCTATTTGACTCCTTGCTTATGGCCTGGGAAAGCAGTAGAGGATGGCGTAAAGCCTGAGGACCCTACACCCTTGTGGGAAACCCAGAGGAGGCTCCTGGCTTCTGGCTTTGGATGAGCTTAGTTCCGATCACACTTTGGGGAATGAGCCAGTCAATGGAGCATCTTTTTCTCCTTCTCTCTGTGAACCTGCCTTTCAAACAAACAAACAAAAATACTACCTTTCCAATAAACATAAATAAAAATAATGTGTGTTTGTTTTTTTTTTTAAGGAAATGTTTGTGTTAGAGGAGGATCTGTAGGGAAGCAGAGGCCATAGCAGTGACAAACCAGCTGCCTGCACAGCCCCCAGGAGAGGCCTTTCACAGGCTTCATGGGACTCTGGGAACAGGAGCTGATGGATTGCACGCTTTCCCACTGGCCTCTCAGGTTCACAGAAGGTCCCCGGGCCTGCCCCCTGCCAACTCAGAAGCCTCTGGCTGTGGCTGAGGGTCACAGCTTCTCTCCTGGATCCTGCTCCTGGGCATGACCCCTGACAGCGACTGTAGCTCACTCACTCGCTCGCTTGCTCACTCTCCCCATCTACTTGAATGAAGGTCAAGCCAGTCAACTCTGTGCCCTGTTTTGGAGGAAGGTTTGGATTGATTTCCTTGCAGCAGGGAGAAAGTCATTATCCTTAGACTTCTGGGAGGCACAAAGGGGAAAATCATTTCCTGGCGATTTTAGATGAATATGATTTCCAGCTCTGAGTCACCAGCATTCTTTGTCAGGTTCAGTGAGTCATTCCCATCTCTTGCTTTCTGCAACAGAGGGTTTTAAGGTGCAAGGGCATGTGATGGGATCTTCTTCAAACTTCTTTTCCGTGGCTCTCAGGCTATGGCCCAGCCTCTGGCCAGTGTGTCCATGTTGCTTTTCCAGGCGTCTTGCTGAGATGGTCTCCTGAGCTCTCAGTCTGCCCTCAACTGCACTGAGCCCTTCCCCTCTCCCTAAATTGGCTCCTTCTTTATTTGCTTGTTGGTGTCATTACTGAATCAGAGAGCCTTCTCTACATTTAAAAAAAAAAAAAAAACACATTTCAGATGTGAGACAAACAGTATCAAGCAGTAAGAACACACCTGACAGGCCAGATGGGCCTCTCAACAAAGCACTGAGAACCCGGTCTGCATCATGCTGTAGTTTTCATTTTAAAAAGATTTATCTTTATTGTAATGGGCACAGTTAGAGAGAAAGGAGAGAGATTCTTCATGTACTGGTTCACTCCCCAAATGGCTGCAATGGCCAGAGCTGGGCCGATCTGAAGCCAGGAGTCAGGAGCTTATTCTGATCTGCCACATGGGTGCAGGGGCCCAAGCACTTAAGCCATCTTCTGCTGCTTTCCAAGGCCACAAATAGGGAGCTGGAGTGGAAATAGAGCAGCCAGGATTTGAACCAGTACCCATACATGATGCCAGCTCCTCAGGTAGAGGCTTAACTTACTATGCCATGGAGACAGCCCATACTGAAGTTTTTAAAGATGTGGAGTCACAGTTTTTTCTCCATGCTCCCTTCTGTTTCTGGCATATTGCTGGGCATGACTTCAATCAGCACAGTGCCATATTTATTTGAAAGGCAGAGTTAGACACACATACACCCCAACACACACACCTTTCATCCACTGTTTTACTCCCCACATGGCCAGGCCAAGTCCAGGATCCAGGAGCTTCTTTTAGGTCTCCTTAATGGGTGCAGAGGCCTAAGCACCTGGGCCATCTGCTGCCGTCCCAGGTGCATTAGCAGGGAGCCAGATCAGAAGTAGGGCAGGCTGGCACCCATAAGGAGTGTCGGCATCACAATGCCAGCCCCCTCTCACACACAGGCCAATATCCAGCTTCCTGCCTACCAGTGCGGTGACCCTGCATTTATCAGCCACTCATTTCCTGATTTCCCCGTTAGGTGTGATGCTAGTTCAATGGTTTCTTGGTAGGTGGGCTTTTTCAAGTGGATTAGTTTCCTCTCCATGGGTGCTCCTGCTTTGCCAAGTGTTTTATTTTTTTTTTTAATCACAAATGGATATTGAGTTTATTTATGACTGATTCAGTTTCTTCAATAGTTTTTACATTAAGTAAAATGTAAATTTTAAGTTAAATTTTTCGTATTTTAAATTGAGTTATTCCACTTTTTATTATGGGGTTGTAAGGAGTCCTTTGTATTTGGATTTAAGTACCTTATCAGGTACATGATTGCAGTTTTTGGAGCATAGAAGCTTCTTCTTTTTAAAACTGTATCTGTTTAAAGGTCACAGTTACAAAAAGAGAAAGGGAGACAGAGAGAAAATCAAACATCTTTGTTTTTCTGATTCATTTCCAAGATGGTTGCAATAACCAGAGCTGAACCAGGCTGAGACCAAGAGCCAGGTGTTTCTTCCAGGTCTCCCCTGTGGGTGACAGAGTCCCAAGTACCTGGGCCATTCATGACTGCCTTTCCAGATGAATAAGTGGGAATTGAATCTGAAATACAGCAGCCAGGACATGAACCCATATGGGATGCTGGCATTGCAAGCAACCGCTGTATTTGCTATGCCACAATACTTACCTCTATTTTTTATGAAATTTATTCTAGAGGGAGAATTATACACAGAGAGCCAGAACCAGAGAAACCAGTATCTCTTTTCTTCTGCTGGTTCATTCTCCAAATGCTACAAATGCCAAAGCCAAGAACCAGGAGCTCTTCCTGGTCTCCTGACGTGGGTGGCACAAGCCCAACCACCTGGGCCATCCGTTATTGTCTCGTAGGGCATTAGCAGGAAGCTGGGTCAGAAATGGAGCAACTGTAACAGAAATCAGGGCCCAAATGGGATTCTAGCACCGCAGGCAGCAGCTTAACTGCTACACCACAATACCAGCCCCAGAAGCTTTTAATTCTGATCTGTCCTTGGGGGTGGCTTGTAGGATGGGAGAGGGAGGGAAAGTCAGAAGACAAGGAAAGCTGTTAAGAAAACCTTGCAGTGGTTTTAAAAAGAGGACCAAAGTGTTAGGGGAGACAAGCAATGGAAATGGCAAAGGAGAGTCCCATGGAAGATACTTAAGGAAAGACCCGGCTTCTGCAAGGGGCCCCATGACCTTCCCATGAGACATACTTCTTCAGTAATCAGTGAAGGTGACTGCTGTTCCATCCCAGGGAGGCCAGCCCCGTTCAGGTTCACAGTCAGCGTGGAGGCTTACAGCATGGCTCACCTGATATTGGTCCTGCAAAAATAGCCTGAGACATTTCTGGGCTCACCTGTCTGCTCTTGAAGGCTACCAAGGGCTCAGCTGGGCTTTGCTCCTGAGTCAGTGATGGAACATTGGGGAGTGGAGCTGGACTTGAGTTGGGGCAGTGCAGGGTCCTTGTTCCATATGTAGGCTGAACTGTCTGGACCTGTTCTTCACATTGGGTACCCCTTTTCCTTGACCTTTGCTTGACCTTTGTTTCTCAACAGGTCAAGTGGATGATGTACTGGATTATATTTGCTCTTTTCACCACAGCAGAAACGTTCACAGACATCTTCCTTTGTTGGTAAGTACTCAAGGATGTGGGAGGTTTCAAGAGATAACTTTGCCCTTGTTAGGGGAGAGCTGGCAAAGGGCTGAAGCCTCAAATAGTACCCCAAGCCACAGATGCAAGCACAGGAATGTTAATTGGAGCCATTTTATAAATATTTGCTTATTCAAAAGGCAAAGTGATATCAAGAGAGAGAGGAAGGAAGGAGAGTCTTCCGTCTGCTGATTCATTCTCCAGAAGGCCTCAACCACCAGAGCTGGGCCAGGCTGGGGCCGGGAGCTTCATCCAAATCTCCCATGTGGGTGTGGGGGCCCAAGCACTTGGATCACATTCTCCTGCTTTTCCAGGTGCATTAGCAGGGAATTGGATTGGACATAGAGAAGCTGAGACTGACAGAGGCACTCATACAGAATGCTGGCATTACACATGGCAGCTTAATTTGCTGTACCACCATGCTAACCCCTACTCAGATCGTTTTTAGTAAATTAGTCCATAAAAGTTGTTCTTTCTGTTAATATTTATTGAATGACCTTATAAGAGCAGGTGTTGTTCTAGGCCCTGGGCATGTAGTCATGAGTCAGACACAGTTCCTCAATTAATGGAGTTGGTAAAGAGGCATTCATGTGTCAAAAAGAAACTGAAGAAACAATTTGCAGAAGTGTGTGATAAAATTCCTATCCATCCATTTCACTAACAATGACAGCTGTGTGTCCTTATTGAACAGTTATTGTTTTAAAAGTTATTTATGCTTGAAGGATGCAAGGAGGCAGGTGTTTGACCTAACAGCTCACACAGTGATTAGGCCATTCCTGTCCCACATGTCAGTGCCTGACCTCAGCTCCCAGCTGCAACTTCTGCCTCCAGCTTCCTGCTGAAGCAGACGTTAAGAGCAATGCTGATGGCTCAGGATGCTCCCTGCATGGGAGATCTGTGCTGAGTTCAGGCTCCCGCATGGGAGATCTGTGCTGAGTTCAGGCTCCCAGCTTCAACCCGCTAAGCCGTTGTGTGCATTTGAGAGTGACCCAGTAGACTGTGTCTCTCTCTTAATAAAAGAGAACTTTAAAGGGTGTGAATCTGTACACTCGTGAATGTGTGTTAGATACTAGTTAGCCAAAGTTATTTCCACAACATGGGCTCATGGGGTTAGTTTTGCATTTGCTCTGTTGTGTGAATGTTTTGCCTTCAGAGAAAATAAAATATTTTCTTATCAGAGGGGAAAAGAAGTTCTTGTCCTAAAAGCACTGATATGAACTTGCACTTGGAATGCCCTAAGTAAAGGAACAGACCTAAATACTGTTCCTAGAAGTCCTGGTAGGGTCAACTTTTGAATTATCTGGCTGTGTAGTTTTCCTCCAGCAGCAGGCTGGCATTCACCTCCATCCAGGGAGGTGATTTGTCTCTGCCATCGTGGCCTCAAGCTGTGGGGACAGAATCTGAATTTCCTAATTCCATAAGCCCATCTGCCCTGCATTGTACCCAGGCCATGTAGCAGACTCCAGATGGGGTTCAGTGGCGTTGAAAGGCAGCAGAGAGCTCTGCCGAGCCAACCCTTATGTTCCTCAAGCATGAGAGGCAGGCACCAAGCATCCGGCCCTCTTGGGCAGAGCAGCCTTGGGCAGGTTCCTGTGTGAGTCACGAGGATGGCCATGGACCTGGCCCAGTTGTCCCCGCAGAGTCAGTTAAGTAGCATGATGAGAGCACACCCAGCCCGTGCTCCTGACCGTCTCATGAACTCCTGGGGGATGTTTCTGTTTTCACCTGCTCCTCCCAGCATCAGCAGCATTTCAGCCTGGTCGTTTTTTGGTGAGGTGGAAATCCTGTGCAGGGATGCCAGATTCCTCCCTGGGATGCGCACTGGAGTGTTAGTTTCAAGCTTAGTGCATACACAACAGCTGCTTTGGGAGTTGATTTACTTTTCATCTGGGGAAGCATGCTGGTTTTCTGTTGCTGCCATAACAAACGAGCGCAAATGCAGCAGCTCAAAGCAACACAGGTTCATTTCCACAATTCCTCCAATCATGGGACTGGGTGGGATCAACTGGGTTCTTTGCTCCAAATCTCACAGGGTCAAAATCAAGGTTTAGCCAGCCTGGGCCTAGATCTGGGGGCTCTGTGTGAAAACTGTCCTTGCAGATTCATTCGGATCATTGACAGAATGCAGTTGCTGATAGCTGTGGGCCCAGAATTTTCTCAGCGTGGGTCCACTCTTCCCCTTCAGTCCAGCTTTGATACACCGGCCTACCCACTCATAACACATTTCAGTGTTTGAGATTTTGGGACTCGCAGAGGTGAGGCCCTGACTTTAACCCGGAGGCCGGGATATTTCTGGTGTGAAGGACAAGTGGTGTTTGAGTGCCCAAGGGTGTGCCAAATCATCTTTACTACAACTATTCTGCTTTGCCATTGACACATGAAGGCAACCACAGACAATACATAAATGGCTGGGTGTGGTCTCATGAGGAGAAGCCAGGGTACCCCAGGGACCATAGCCCTGAAGCTTAAGGACTGTGTTTTCAGCCCTGGCCAGTTACACTCCTAAGCTGCATTTGTGCCTATGCTATGGGCCTCCCCATTCCAAATTTCACTCTCTTGTGCTCTAGTGATCACTTTGATGCTCAGTAGTAAGTACTAGTAAGTGCTACTGGTGGTAAGCACTTAGTACTTAACTATTATCTGGGGATCACTTGAGATAAATAAGGCCCCCAGGAGTCTTCCCTTATGTATCTAGAATGAAGGAAGGGGAAAGGGAGAAGGTTCTGGAAAGGTGGTCTAAGGGTTGTTCTAGTACAGATACTTGTAGAGCCCACTGTTTGCTGGTTCTATTCTGGCACTGGGTGGCGTAGGCACAGCCAGCCCTTCTCTGCTGGAAAGAAGGTCAACGTGGGGTATGCACAGACCTTTCTTTCCCTTTATAGTTCAATAGATTTTCCAGAATGAGTGAGTGAAGCAAGCAATCATTCAAAAGACAAATCCGTCGGTAAGCCAGTAGTGTAGCTGTGAGTGGATTTGTGGGACAAGCAAAAATCTTAAGGAAAGAAATGGAAAGAAGATGGGGTTTAACCATCTGCTTCCAGGGACAGCTGTTTGGCTGTGTGGCATCCTGTCTTAGATTGTCTGGGATCAAGGTTAGGCTCCCTGCTAATGGGAGGTTTCCTTTGTGGGAGACTCTGGGTCACGAGTTCCCAGCTCCTGGCTTCAGCCTGAGGCAGCCCTCACTATTGCAGACTTTTGGGGCCTGGACCCGTGGATGGGAAGCTCTGTGTCTCTTGATCTCTCTCTCTCTCTCTGCTTTTCAAATAAAAGGCAAATAAATTTTAAAAATAGGGATTTTGCTTCTGGGGATTTATGCTAAAGATACATTTGTATGCATACATAAAGAGGTGTAGCAGGAGACTGTCTTGCAGCTCTGCTCTGCTGTAACCATGGCGAATACCTATTCTGAGGGTCTGGGGGTGGTGCTCGGACCCCCACACTTGGACGTGGAAGTTGAGGCAGCTCTCTAGTGACCTGGTATGAGTTAATCCCCACTGCTAAGTTTGTGTGTGTGTGTGTGTGTAAAAGAGAGAGAAGGAGAGGGAGAAAGAGAAGCAAGGTATGGCAGGAGTCCACAGGGTATTCCTTGTGTGCCAGGGACAGTAAGGAAGTCATATACATGCAGTTGGGGAACCCTTGACAATGTTTTGTTCTGTAACAAACTATATGACGGTAGTCCCATGAAATTTTGACGTCACAGGCATCTTCATTTGAGCATGCAGATTCTGTGATGTTTATACAGCAGTGAAGTCACCCGATGATGCCTTTCTCAGAGTGTGTCCCTGTCTGAGTGATGCATGACTGGACCTGTATGATTGCCTGTGCCCAGCCTACCTCTACCCTTGCAAGCTGATGATGCCTTTGTTTTTGCTTTTGCTTTTAAAGAAAGGGACCAGCAGTCGGGAGCAGGATGGAGACTCTACTGTGGGCTCTTTTGGCCTTTTAGTGTCTCTCGTGGTGCATACATGACCTATTTTTTAAAGCCTCCGTCTTCTACATAATAAATGAAAGAGTGGCAGTGTGGCAGATGCCCTTGGGATTCTCTGTGAGTTTTGTGTCAGTGCCTAGGCTTCCCAGCCTCATTTGCTTTCCTCCTGGGGCTGGCAAAAGGCTTGTTTTCCAAACAAAGATGCCTCCATTATTAATCCCCCAGAGTGAATCATGCCTTCGTTCCTTCAGCCCCCATCTTCTGTGGCTGTGAAATATGAAAGTGCCTCCTTGTTGCCTAGCTTATTGTTGGAAATAGCCTGCCAGGGTGGAGGGCAACCAGGCTTGGAAGCTGAAGACAGGAGGAGGAGATAGAGCATGGGAGGCCAAGGCCCTCGAGATGACAGACTGGAAATCATTATCCGGGCAGGAGTCTGGGGAAGGACAGATTCTGCTGATCTCTCAGGCCAATGCAGGTGGCATCTGCTGTGTGGCAGCAAGTTGTACAGATGCCTCAGGTTTTGTTTTCGTGAGCCACGGTGGGACCCACCCAGGGAAACTCAGGGCTGCTTAGGAGGCCTAGGAAGGAAGAAGGAAGGAGGCAAGGCAGGTAAGCTGGCTTGATGTGGGCTAGCTGGAATGATGCCTGTGGGCTCCCTCTGGGTATCTGTGCCTGTGCTAGTAGTGGCTAGTGGCCAGGAACAGTAGGTCCCAGCAGGGAGAATGAGACTGGAGTGCGGCCTTGGAGTGGTTAACTTAAAGCATGTGGAAGGCGTGCTTGGGAGTGAGCTCTTTGCTATCACTGGGAAGGAGCAAGGGTCAGCAGGGGCCCAAGATGTCAAGCATCAGAATACAGACAGTGAAAAAGCACAGCTATGGTTCACATACTTCAGGAACGCCAGATATGGTGGTGTAGGTTGTTCACAGCACAAGAGGGTAAGTAGGGCTGAGATCTAGACCAAGCTGTATTGGCCAAGTCTCCTGCCCACAGAACTGCATCAGATCAAAGGGCTGGCTGACTTTTTTTCTAATGAGCTAGCAGAGGCCCATGGGGGCACCTGTCTTAGGTTGCAGTTCTATATTATTTATAATTCTTATATCAGTCTCTTGTTTGCATTTCATGATGCTCCAAGGGGCAGGGACAAAATCTTCTTTGCTAATCATTGTTTTCTCAGAATCCAGCACCAGCTGGGATATACAGATGTTGGGTGTATGTTGGTGAGATAGATAAATGAATAGGCTCAGATATGAAGGACTACAGACTTCATAATTATCTGTCACCTGCCTATACCCCTGTCCCCAACCCCAGGCTTTTTGGCATGGAGAGGATCAAAACTTGATGATCTGGGGCCCGGCGCGGTGGCGCAAGTGGTTAAAGGTCCTCGCCTTGCACGCCCTGGATCCCATATGGGTGCCGGTTCTAATCCCGGCAGCCCCGCTTCCCTTCCAGCTCCCTGCCTGTGGCCTGGGAAAGCAGTCGAGGACGGCCCAAAGCTTTGGGAACCTGCACCCGCGTGGGAGACCCGGAAGAGGCTCCTGGCTTCGGATCGGCATAGTATCGGCCCGTTGCGCTCACTTGGGGAGTGAATCATCGGACGGAAGATCTTCCTCTCTGTCTCTCCTCTCTGTATATCCGCCTTTCCAATGAAAAAATAATAAAAATAAATCTTTAAAAAAAAAAAAAAAAACTTGATGATCTGCCACCAACTCGAGTAGGTGGAATACATTGTCCTTCCTGGCAAGTGTTGAGCTCCTATCAGTGCCTCTCTGGGCCAAAAAGTGAACTAAGAAATGGATGCCTTTTATACACAGTCTGGGGGTTGTCAGTTGACCCTATACTGCAGTTCTTCCTGGTGTCTGTACCTTCTTGACCATGACTGAAGACAGAGAGAATGATTCATTGGATATATGGGCAAGAATATGTCTTTTTTTGTTTATTGTTGTTGTTAGATTGTTTTGTTCACTTGAAAGGCAATTAGAGCAGGAGAGACAGAGAGAGAGAGAGGTCTTCTATCTACTGGTTCACTCCCCAAAGGGCCAGGCATGTGTGGTGTGGTGTGTGTGTGTGTGTGTGTGTGTATGGTGTATGTGTGTGTTGTGTGTGTGTACCTTGATCACTGGAAGAGTCTGGGGACTTCACATCTGTTTTCTGTTTGGGTCCAAGGTTCCAGGTCACCCCCCCACCACCACACCACCAAGGCACCTCATTCATCAGCCCAGGGCAGAGTTGCTCACAGCCTAACAGACTATTTATTGTTGTTGTCTCTGCAGGTTTCCATTCTATTATGAACTAAAAATAGCATTTGTAGCCTGGCTGCTGTCTCCCTACACAAAGGGCTCCAGCCTCCTCTACAGGAAGTTTGTGCATCCCACACTGTCTTCCAAAGAAAAGGTAATCCCTGTCTGCAGTTTGCCTTTCACATCTTCTGGCAAGTGAAAATCAAAGAGCTGATGCAGGAGGGTCCCAATGCAGAAGGGCTCCAATGCAGGAGGGTCCCAATGCAGGAGGGCTCCAATGCAGGAGGGTCCCAATGCAGGAGGGTCCCAATGCAGGAGGGTCCCAATGCAGGTGGGTCACAATGCAGGAGGGCTCCAATGCAGGAGGACCCCATGAGTTGTTTCTCCTGATGCCTTCTAAGTGTTTTTGAACATGCTTGAAAATAGTGGTAACACTTCCTAAAAGATGTTATCATGATTTATTGTAAGACATTTCATAAATTAAAACAAAAGGAAGAAGGGGAAAAAACTTCAGTCATAATCTAATCTCCTAATCTGAATTGCGTTCATTTCATCAGGCTTTAGTCTTGTTTAGTCAGCGAGGATTTCCCATCGACTATTTAAAAGTATTGCAGAAAATAGCCTTTTTAATATACTTTGGAAACTTATCATAAAAAAGGTTTATACATTCCTAGATCTTAAATGTGTTTGCCTAGAAGACATTTGTTTTGTTTTGTTTTTGATGATGTTTACATAGTTGATTAGGGTGAGAAGGAAAATGTGTGAGACCATGATTTTCAAATCTTTTTTCTTCTTCCTGTATCTGGAGAAGGAGGGAGAAAAGGGGAGAAGCTGCACCTAGCCTCCGAACCACCTCAGTATCCAGGGATGGGGAATGGCCACCTGATGTCATTGCAGGACCCCCAGTGTGGACCATGCACTGAAGGTTCTGCTCAGGTGGTTTTGATAGTTCTGAAATGCTGTTGGTTTCATCACTCCAAGGATGAGGAAATCCTTCCAAGGTCCATTGGCTGACATAGTCCACCTTAGAGTCTCCATTCACCCAAATATTTGCTGCCAATGCTTGGATGGGATAGTTGACCAATTTGTTCTGCCCTCTTTTCTCTGTTATGGTACCATATGTTCTCTGAAAGTTCCATGGACTGCCATATCACTGGCATGACCCGCACTCAAGCCTGGCTCCTAAACATGCCAGTGGGCCAAGATTGGTCCTGTTCTTCCTGGCCCACCTCCTTCCCTCCCCCCCACTGCCGCTCCAAAACCAGTCCACACACTTGCTGACAGGTAGAGCTACCTTGCCTGGCCTGACCAACACCCAGGCCTGAACCACATACTCACCAGTGGGAGCTACCTCCTATCAGTAGTGTTTTCCATGTTCCCCTACCAGGCCCACACCCAGACTCAGATCTCACATGTGCTAGCAGGTGCTAGACCCTTACCAAGTATAGTCTGCCCCCTCCATCCCACCTTTGTGTGAGCTAGCAGATGTTGTAGCCCAGCCCACCCCACACCACAACCTATGCTTGGGTGCACTTGCAGGTGCTGCAGCCTGAACCTGTCCAACCTGTTCCCAACCTCAGCACCTATGAGTGTCAGAGGGTTCCATGGTTATGCCTAGCTGAGCACATCACTGACCCCAGCTGTTAAGCTAACCAGTGGAAATTGCATTTCCACAAGGGTGAGCCCACATATCCTCCACAGATTTTGCTCCCAGGCCAGGTTCTCCCATGTGCTGGTTAGTGTCGTGGCCCAGCTTAACATTATCCACTCCTTATTCTGACTCTCACTGGAAGATACTGTGATTTAGCCCTGTCAGGCAGACTCCAGCCCTAGCTTTAGTGTGCACCAGTGATTGTAGTTGGCTGTGATTCATGCTAACTTGCCCAGCTGAAGTCTCCCACGTGGGCTCATGCATCACTCTCTCCCATAAAGATCCTCCAGCTTGCCTCCTCCAAATCCCCTGGTCTCTGCCCCCTTGCTTACCTGCAGGCACAGTGGTCTTGTTTTGGGGAGTCCCACAGAAGTCATTCCTCACCTGCAACATGCTCCCTCAACAGTCCTTCCTCCCATACATCCCCTTGCCCACTTTGCTGAGCAATCCATAGACCCTGTACCTGGGAACACATGGGTTCCCCATCCTAGCCTCTCTAAGCTCAGTCTTCTGGTGGGGTGGTGTGCTAGTCTGTAGCTCTTCCCACTCACTGGGGTCCCAAACTCCTGGCACATGTGATGGTCTAGGACCTTACTTCTTTACACACACAAGATCCAGACCCATTCATAGTCCCCTAAGCCCAGTGCACCAGCACACCAGGCCAGCCTGCTAACCTAGGGCTCTCCCCTCCCCTGCGCTCACCACACCCAAGACCAAGCATGTTGGGAAAGCCCCAGGCTCACTCTGCCTGCCTGGATATGAGCCCCCAGATCTCCACATGCCCTGACTGGCACTATCCCCCTGGGGATGCAAGCCTGCATCCCCAGGCCTCCACAAGCTGTCAGCCTCCCAGCTGTGTAGGCATGGGAATGGCAGGAGGGTTAGCCCCTGGCTGCACCCCTAATAGACATTTCTATTCTGTGTTTGTAAGGACCCACAATGATGAACCTGTTCAAGGCCAGTGTTAGGATATAGTGCTGGGTTGCACCAGGATAGTTATGATGGTTCAAGTCTGTGCTGCTCTGCCTCCGATCCAGCTCCCTGCTAAGGACCTAGGAAAGCAACAGCTGATGGCACCCACATGGGAGACCCAGATGGAGTTCCAGGCTCCTAGTTTTAATTTAATCCAACCCCAACCATTGTGGCCATTTAAGAAATTAATCAATAGATTGAAGATCTTTTTCTGACTTTGTTTCTCTCTCACCTTGCCTTCCAGATAAATACATACATACATCTTTTAAAAAAAAAAAAACTTAGCTATAACACTAGATATTTAGATTGTCTCACAAAAAAAAAGGATTTATTTCATTTTGCTTTAAGTACAGAGTGATGAAGAAGAGGAGAGATATCTTCTCTCTGCTGGTACACTCCCTAAATGGCCACAGTGGCTGACTGAGTCTGAGCCATGCCAAAACCGGGATCCAGGGACTCTCAGGGGCTCATACTTCTAGGCCATCTTGTCCTACCTTGCCATGTACATTCGCAGGCAGCTGAATTTGGAAGCATAGCAGCAAGGACTTGAAGCGGTGTTCTGATATAGGGTGCACGGCCTAAGCCCTTGCATTATGGTGCTGGTCCTAGGTTATTTTTTCCTGTTGTAGGTAATTCTGTAGTGAACACAACCATGCAAGAAGTTGACTTCCACTCTTTGATTGTCTTATAATAAATTCCCAAGAATGAAATGACTGGGTCAAAAGATTCCAGCACTTTGTAATTCATTGCTTAAACCTGGTATAGTAGGATTCTTCAACATCAGATAGGAGCACTGGGAATTCCTTGGCAAATTCATCTCTTGTTTCTGAATGTTTGAACCTTCTAGATGAAGCCCTGGAGAACCTGTCAATTGGATGAGCAGGCTACTCTAGTCATTTCTGATAACCCCCTTGGGAACTAGGACCACTGGGAACTAGCCATTGGGACCACTGGGAACTAGCCATTGGGCTTCCTCTCTTGCAACAGTGGACTTTGTCTTGATCTGGTTATCAAATCCCTAACTCTAATGATTTCCCTTCCCAAATGGTTTTTTCCTCTGACTCTTCCCATGTAGTTGCCTATCAACTGGGCAGTAGGGATGTCGCAATTAGGGGCCTTGCTGCTGTGTCTTGCCAGGGAGCCCTTACCCAGGGATTCCAGCAAGGGCTTGCTGAGCCCACCTGCACACCTCAGAGCAAAGGAAACACTACAATGCTGGATGGATTTCAAACAAGATAGAGGCCCAATGTCATTGTCATACTGAGTCTTGAAATGAGATACTGGGATAATACACCTGACAACTCAAAACAGAAACAAAAAAAACATTAAACATTAAACCAGAGTTTAATATTGTTATTACACAGTAACATGAATGTTACTATCCTTGGGTTCGGTCCCAGAAGAAGGCCTCAGTCCTATTTCCTGCCTCCCCTTGACCTTGTTTTATGACACTGGGTGACTTCTAATTTCTCCTGCTGCTTCAGTACCCATAAAGTGATTTCTCTTATGAACAAAATCACCCCTATTTCTTTGTGCTTCCCAATCCTTGTATCAGCCATCACAGGGGGTTGACATTTGATTTTGGAATCAAATAGCTGTGGAATAGCAGCATTTTAGGATTGCTTGGGGTCTGAGCCTTTCAATAAAGGTAAGATAGCACCTTATCAGTCCTTGAAACCAACTCCTAGGCTTCATACTTTTCTGGTATTGCTTCAATTTACTCCTGCTGTTGTCACAGAAGGCAAAGCTGTATGTAGAGGAGCAAGAAGCTAGCCAAATTCTGACAGTTCCTGGCATCTCTTCAGCCCCTGGTTCTTTTGAGTGCTGGAGAGCAGGTGTGGGTAGATAAGTTCAGTGTATACGCCCATGGCCCCCCAGAGGTCTCCCTGGAAGGCTGGAAGGCTTTAGAAGCAGCCCCAGGGCATGGCTGGAATGGTGAGTTTTTTTAAGTTTCCCTTTACCACTTTGCAGAGGCTCTCCTGTCATTCTCCACCTGGTTCTCCCACTCTTCCACAAAGTGTCTGAGACTTTTCAGGCCTGGTGAAGAGCAGCATTGGGGCAGGCAGCTGAGCCCAGCCCTCAGGACAGAAGAAAGAGGCCAAGAGATACATCTGAACCTGTGACCCAGCATGCCTCTGTGCTTTTTTTCTTTTTCCAACAGGAGATCGATGATTGCCTAGTCCAAGCAAAAGACCGAAGTTATGATGCCCTCGTGCACTTTGGGAAGCGGGGCTTGAACGTGGCTGCCACGGCAGCTGTGATGGCTGCTTCCAAGGTACTGTGCTGGGCCCTGACCACCATGGTGGGGCAGGTCTCTCTCCTTGGATGGGGAGCAGGGAGGTTGAAGGGTTCACCCTCCCTCCAGTCTGCCCTATTAGTGTCCCTACAGAATAGGCTAAAGACCTGCTCCATGGCTAAATTTTTGGTGTCCGTTTGAAAATCTGGTGGGAAAATATGATAAGTCTTGTTGTTTCAAATTTATGTGTACTTACCACAGCCCAAGTGCGTGCATGATCAAGAATTTCCCTAAGCGCCCTAAGCTCCCCAGTGAAACCCAGGTTGTGAACCTCAGGCTTCTCCCTGGAGCTAAGGCCTGGGAGGGACGCCTCTCTGCAGTTTTCCAAGGTGTGAACTCAAAATGGGCAGGAGGAGAGCCTGCCTGAGCAAGCAGATGCCCTCCCTGCTCATGGCCAGAGCATTGAGAAGGATCCCCGGGTCCCCCCAGCAGTGTGACGAAGACAGTAACAGCAGCAAAGGGGCTGGAAGACCTCAGAGTGAACCTCTCTTGGGGCTGTTGTAATCCAGGCATGGCTTCTTCCCCTTTCATGTCTAGCCCTTGGTCAAAGCCCCCTGTGTGCCTTCCTATCTTGCTCTCTTATTGTGTTTATTTCCATTGAGCCTTCAGACCTGAGAAATTCAATGGGTGCACTCATTTCCCTTAAGTAAATCCAGCAGATGACCCTGTGTTCACAGGGACCACCTTTGCCTGGAATCCTGATTAGAGTGGGGAGACGAAACAGCTACACTAATCTGGGGGTGACGTCGGAGTTGGGAGGTGAGGGACATTGTCCTAGCAGAGAGGGTTTACATGCTGGATGGTTCTGGAAGGGTCTGGAGCAAGACGCTTGATGCAGATCTTGGTGATCCATGGGCTCCAAGTGGACAGCAGGAGGGAGGGTGCTGAGAGTATCCTGGGGCCAGGCACACTCAAGTCCTGTGTGTGAACCAGAGCTGCGAGGAAGGGTCCTCCAGGAGGGCGACTCGACACACAAGGACAAGCACCTTCCACCAAAGTCGAGGAGTCCTGCAGACAGAGCTGTGAGAGAACAGAAGCAGACATTGCGGGGTCCTACTTCAGGCTGAGACGAGCTCCTTCACTAACACGTCTGTCCTGCAACAGGCATGTGGAGGGCCCTGTCTGGCAGGGTGCTGGGGGGAGCCCAGTGAGTGTCTTGGGAAGGGAATTCCACTTGGGTACCCCCAAGGGGACATCTGTGGGGGCTTATGCAGAATAGTGAACTCTAAGAACCTTGTATTTGTCACTTTTTTCTTATAAGTGGAAAGAACAGAGAGTTCCAGATCACTGAATTCATAGCTCATCAGGCCAATGTATAACTCCAGAAGCCCCCTCTCTGGCCTGCCTCCTCTGTGCTGGAGCCATAGTGCAGCCAGCGAGTGTGATAGCCATAGGAACAGTGTCGTTATCACGGGGCTCACTGCTGGAAGTCTGGCTACTCAGCCACATGTGTGTATATTGGATTCTGACAGGCGCTTACACGGAGCCACCAGTGTTCAGGTCGGCTTCCAGATGGAGAGAGCTTCAGTACAGGTACCTGGTTAGCCGATTGGCTGCCCACTTTCCCCACTGCCTGCGTGGGTCTCATCCAGCCCTGCAACCTGCAAGCAGCTCAAATCCAAAGCAAACAGAGCAAAGCATCTGCTCATTAGTGCTTGCCAGTTGGGCTAGAATAGTAGGGGATGTGTGCTTTCGATTGAATTCAGTCTCAGGGGAAAAAAATTCTGCTTTTGCTCTAAATAGCATCTAGAGAGAGACCACATCTTCTCTTCCAAAAATAATGCCCTGTATTTCTGTAACAGATACATACTTTAAAAACAGGGAGGGGGAAGACAAGAAATATCTGAAAATCCAATCTGACTGGGATGTATGCTGGTGGTTTCCATAGCAACGGTGGATTGCGCAGGTGGAGTGGGGAATGTGTATGACTCACCAGCAGGTCCAAATCTGGCTGTGATGCCAACAGCACTTGGAAAGCTGTGTTTTTCATTTTGCAGGAATTCCTCTGATGTGCTGGGTCAGAATCTCAGGGTGGGAACTCATGCCTTTTTTTTTTTAATGAGCTCCCCAAATGGTTTTTAGGCATTGGCTCTGCACAGGTCACTGTCAGAGCACAGGAAATGAGGAGTAAAACAGTTTCGAGCCATTCCTGGGTGCTGGTTTAGTTCCTTGGAAGCAGTAACTGTGTGTGTGAAGTGCTGGGTAATGTTTATTCCCCATCCCCAAACTTAATGCCAGTTGAGGAACACAGTCATGTACCAATTAATGATCCAAGATACATCCTGAGAAGTGTCTTGTGCAAGCATCATAGAATGTCCTTATGAAAACCACAGTGGCATGGCGCAGCACATCCTGGGTCAGATAGCACACTGCAGTGACATGTGCAGCCTGTCGCTGACTGACACATTCTTATGTGGCCCATCGCTGGCCTTGTTTCCCTGTGTGTCAGAGTGTAACACAACACCCTGCCCCCAGCAGAGGCTGTAATGTCTTATTGACAACTCCCAGGAACTAGTCCAAGCAATTGCCCCATGTAGGATACCCTGACCGGTCACCTGTGCCTGGGGTGATTGTCCAATTCGTTGTCCACACCAGGACCCATCTGAGCTAGAAAAGAGGGGATATGGGGGCTGACTCAATGGCTCACTGACTAATCCTCAGTGTGCTACTGCCAGTGTCCCTGTGGGCACCAGTTTGTGTCCTGGCTGCTCCACTTCCCATCCGGCTCCCTGCTTGTGATCTCTGAAAGTAATGGAAGATGACCCAAGGCCTTAGGCCCCTGTATGCACGTTGGAAACCTGGAAGAAGCTCCTGGCTCTTGACTTTGGATTGGCCCAGCTCTGATTTTTGCAACCATTTGGGGAGTGAACCAGTTGATGCACGATCTCTCAATGTGTCTCTCCTTCTCTCTATAAATCTGCCTTTCTCCTGGCCTTGAGACAGCAGGTACACATAAGCAGGTCACAGCAAACCAGGATTTCTGATTGCCATACCCAGGGATTCATTTTCAGAGTCTGAAACCTGCCCATTCTCCCCTCCCGTAAGACCTTTTAGCTCCAAATCAGTTCTCAGTGTCTACTGCATGTAGGTGAGGGAGTGTGAAAGACTCTGATAGGGTAGAATCCTCTCTCTTCTGACGCCTGAATGAAGGCTGGATGAGAGGATGGATGAAAGAGCCATTCTCTCTCCTTCCCTTTTCTTTTTCCATCCTTGGTTGCTTCCGGGGGAAACTAAGAGTGAAAGATGCTTCATTGTCCCCCTCCCCCCAAAAAAGATATACTGGGGCTGGCATATAGTGTAGCAGTGAAAGCTGTTGTCTGCAATGCCAGCATCCCATAACGGTACCGGTTCTTGTCTCAGCTGTTCCACTTGCAATTCAGCTCCCTGCTAATAGCCTGGAAAAGCAGCAGAAGAAAATGACCAAGTGCTTAGGTTCCGGCCCTACTGTGGGAGACCTAGATGAAGCCCCAGGCTCTTGACTTCAGCCTGGCTCTGCCCAGACTGTTGCAAGCATCTGGGCAGTGAACCAGCAGATTGAAGAACTCTGTGTGAGTGTGTGTGGGGCTGTGTGTATGTGTGTGTCCCACTCTCTCCAATGCATTCAAGTAAACAAGTATTTTTAAATGATTGATTTATTTGCTAGTAAGTCAGAGTGACAGAGAATCAGGAAGACCTTCTGTTCTCTGGTTTACTCCCCAAAAGCCCACAACAGTCGGGGCTGAGCCAGGCAGAAGCCAGGAGCCAGGAGTTTCATCTCAGTCTCTCAGTCGGGTGGCAGGGCCCAAGTACCTGGGACATGTTTTTCTTTCTTAGGTGCATTTGCAGGAAGCTGGGTCAGAGGTGTGGTGCAGCCAGGATATGAATCAGGCACTCTGAAGTGGGATAGACATCTCAAGCAGTGACTTCACCCACTGTGCCACAGTGCCTGCTCTTTTCATCTTTTTTCTTTTTAAGATTCACTGATTTTTATTGGAAAACCAGATCCACAGAAAGCAGAGACAGAAAAATCTTCTGTCCTCTAATTCACTCTCCAAGTGGCCAGAGCTGAACCAATCCAAAGTCAGGAGCCAGGAGCTCCCTCGGGGTCTCCCATGCAAATGCAGGGTCCCAAGACCCTGAGCCATACTCCACTGCCACAGCAGGGAGCAGGAAGGGAAGTGGAGCAGCCAGAACACAAACCAGCCCTAATATGGGATCACTGTGCATGCAAGGCAAGGACATAAACCACTAAGCTACCACGCTAGACCCCCCCCTTTTTAATTTTTTTTTTTAGATTTATTTATTTTTATTGCAAAGTCAGATATACAGAGAGAAGAGACAGAGAGGAAGATCTTCTCTCTGCCAATTCATTCCCCAAGTGTCCACAATGGCCAGAGCTGAGTCAATCTGAAGTCAGGAACCAGTTGCTTCTTCTGGGTCTCCCCTACAGGTGCAGGGTTCAAAGGCTTTGGGCCATCCTTGACTTCTTTGCCAGGCCACAAGCAGGGAGCTGGATGGGAAGAGGAACCACTGACACAGAAACCAGCACCCATATGGGATCCCAGCAAGTGCAAAGTGAGAACTTTAACCACTAGGCTACCACACCGGGCCTTCCTTTTTTTTTTTTCTCTCTCTAAGATTTATTTACTTTTATTGCAAAGATAGATTTACAGAGAAAAAGAGAGGCAGAGAAAGGTCATTTGCCTGTTGGTTCAGTCCCCAAGTGGTCACAACAGTTGGACCTGAGCCAATCCAAAGCCAGGAATCAGGAGGTTCTTCCAGATCTCCCATGTGGATGCATCACCCCAAGGCTTTGGGCCGTCCTTGACTGCTTTCCCAGGTCACAAGTAGGGAGCTGGAGAGGAAGTGGAGCAACCAGGACACAGACCAGTGTCCATGTGGGATCCCAGTGCATACAAGATGAGGATTTAAACAACGAGCCATCTTGCCAGGGCCCTAGAAATGTCTTCTTAACACTAGCTGTGTACACATTTATGGGT